CTTCTTCCTTCCACTTTTCAATATCATCCTTCAGGTTTCTTATTTTGTGCATGATTCACTATCCTTCACAAATTTAGCATGTTCTCGTCCTTTCACCCTCATCTAACCACTTCCTTGAACCTAGGATGTTTCAACCACATATTTTCTAACCTAAAAGGAGTTGACCCCCAAGTTACCATTGGGATTCAAGTGGGATCAGGAAATGATCACAAACTGCTCCTGGGAGAACTTCCTGGACCATGTAGGGGAAAGTGTCCTCCCACTGAGTAGAGACCTAAAACCGATCAGAACTAAACCACTCCTATCTATTAGTAGAGCATGTGTATTCAACATTATTGAAGGGTAGGTCTCTTTGGCCACACTCATCTAAAAAGGTGTTAAATTACTGCTTAGATGTTAAAATACCTATAGAGGAATCTCTCTGACTGCCTAATTTTTCTTGAGGGAATTTACATATGTTAAAATTACCACCAATAAACCAAAATGGATTACAAAGACTGGAAAAATATGACAATTCCTCCCAAAAAGATAACCTTTCTTTATGTCTAGTAGGTCTGCAGATACAGATAATCCACCAACAGCCTTTCCCTTTTATGTTCAGCAGACAGACAAAGAATAGTTGCCTTATAACATGTCTATTTTTGTTGCTGCCCTTGTATCCCAACTGATCAAGATGCCCCTTAAAGCACCAGATATCTACTTTTCTTCCAAGACACTACTCTCATCTCATACCCTTATCTCCCTTTTTTTTCTTTTTATTGCACATAAATTTTCTGAGCCACATTCCTAATTCCTCTCTTTGCTGTTTTCTTCCAATGAGTGTAGGTCATTGGGGACATAACTAGCAGTACCTTCTCTCCCTTTTCCCCCACTACCTGAAAACCCGATTTGTTCAAGAAATCAGATGGTGTTTCCTGATTGCAACGCACCTTAATTGGCTTTATGGCAACAGTATTTTCCTTTGGTTTCCTTATATCTAGTGGCATATTATGGATTCCAAGACCCTCCTTGTAATTTGGTTTTCGTAGAATGTCCCTGCTTGAATGTGTATGTATCTCACATGTCCCTGTTTCCTTCAAAGGTTTTGATTGGTTAGGAACAGCTATAGAAAGGGAAATTTTACCAGGAGGGTGAATTGTGTTGCTGTAGGAATTCTAACTTGGCTCCTTGTCCATTACTACTATAAGCTAGATGCTAGCACAAGGACTCATCTTCTGCTTCTCTTGCACAATTTGTTCCTCTGCGGTTATTCTTATAATTTGTCTGTAAATTTTAGCCCTTCCCACACCTCCTTAACCCTCTCAGAGCTACTCCTATCTTCATCTATTTAAGGGCTCATCATATCATCTTCTTCCATGTTGTTGTTGCTGCTAACCTCATCTTCTTTGTCGCCTTAATCCTCTCTTAATCTGGGCCGGTAACTCAATTCTTCAATTAAGTAACTGTTTCTCTGTCCAGTTTCAATTTTCTTCCCACTTGGGCTTCATATTTAGAAGAAGTTCTGGTTTCCTTTTTGATATTTAGTTTTTGTCTCTGCTGATTGTAGGACAATCTTGTCCAATTGAATATTGTCACAAACAATAATGGATTTTAATCTTGCTCTTCTGTTGGTAGTGGCACTTCCTTAGTACTCATCTACTTTGTACTTCTTTCTAGTGGTCACCAAAACTTCCTCAGGAGGCTGCTGAGAGAAAATGCTTGATGGATGGATCCTGGTGGAATCGGGTTTCAGTTTTGACATGATGGGCCTCCATCGTTGTAGAAACCTTCTAGAGGTAATTGCTTTGGTAGGCCAATAGCAGGAGATGAGTTGCCCTGGGACGAAACTGACTCATTAAGGACAGCCTCTCTCAGTAACTCATTTTTGGATTCTCCTTATCAGTTATGTTTATTGCCCATCTAACTGTCCTTTCCCAGAAGAGTGGACCATTATTCGTAATGGGAATTCCCGAATTTTCTTCAATATCTCCACAAAATCCTCCCCAATCTAGGTATCTATGTTGTAATGCCAAAGTGGATTGTGTGGTGTAATGTTGCCGATTTGAGAATTGAATCTTGTACCCAATTTGTCCTCTTTCTGTTCCTATCATCATGATCGGTGCACAGCCGCTACCAGGGTTGCTCGCCATCTTCAGCACCGTGTCTGTTTCTGTTATTTGGAAGCACTAGCAGCCCTGCCGCCTTTCTTCCCTCTACATCTTTTGGTATCTCTCTTCCCTGCTCCAGAGAAATCACAGAAGACAGCACATCAGCCATCTTCGTCTGCCTATTCATTGAAAGCCCTCAATAACACAGACCCTGTTGACTAACACTGAGCCTCTGAACTCATCTGTTTCCAGGAATCTCCCGCATTCATTTTTATTGATGGCTGCCATCATATACCCTTTTGCTAATCTGCAGATTGGATTGTAAAGCAAACCCTCTGCCACATATGGTCTGAGGCAATTACAGAACCACACAGCCTGCCTTACACCCATTCTAGTTGCAGAACTGTGTTGATTCTGCTTCTCCTGTATCAGCACTATCCCTTGCTCCCAGCTGTTACCATCCTCCCTCCTCACTGTGAAATGATTCCTCTCCAACATGAATTCCTACAATACTCCCTCATGGATTCCCATAATA